TAACCCGATTGTCACCGCTGGTGACAGATTATATCAGGCCACTCACTACACTAATATAAAAAAGGTATTTGTATTAAAATAAACATTATTGCACAAGATACAATTTTATTTTATACATTACTTATAAAAGAAATGGAAGTCGTCTTTTTGTATTTGCAAAACGGGTAATAATAATATTAGAGACGTCTGGTACTATTTCCGGGTGAATGTTTAGAAGAGCTAAACCTGTTAATCGCTCTTCTAACATGTTAGGGTGCGGCCAGAGTGCACTCAGATTCAGATTCAGATTTCGAAAACATGCGCAAGAAATAAACAGTGTAGTCGAAGGGTACGGCCAGAGTGCACTCCTGATTCAGATTCAGATTCAGACTCAGAAAACAAAGCGCGAGAAAAAGCAGGCAACCTGCTTAGACTACACTGTTTATTTCTCGCGCTTGTTTTCAGAATCTGAATCTGAGTGCACTCTGGCCGCATCTTGAATCTTTACAATAAATCGACAAATTACATTATTAGAATATTGTTATACAATATTTAGCATGACGACGCATATCGATTTTGCTAGGATTACCAAAACTACGTAGTTCAGTTCCTTGTTTCTGAACTAGTACTAGATGTCATTTCCAAGTTATTTTAGTCATCGTACGTAATTTATAAAAACACCACTTGATGTCAGCAAACTATAAATTTATCGCTGTTAAGAGATAGGTAGAAATTTCCTTTTATTATTTGGCAAGTTTTTGAGACTATTTAATTTGACCTTAGGGGGGGGGGGGGGGTCATGTCCCCTGTGACCCTCCCCCCTCGGACCGAACTTGGCATATATTTCGTTTTACCCTTCGTCATCACAATTGAGGTTAATCACCACTGTCAACAAATGGTATCATTTTTTTCTCGTTTGTTAGTAGTGGGAACGAAGCCAGTGGTGACTGAATACTGGGAATAAACGATGTTTTTCATTGTAGCTGTTGAATTGGCCATTACATTCTTGTGTGTCCTATATTTTTACCAAACCAAATAAAACACCAATTAACTATGTAATAAAAACCATTTAATAAAACTTTGGTTACAGAATTTAAAACTTAACGTTTAAATTCTTAACATTTCCATACTGACTTGGCAAGTAGTTCTGTATTGCTTTTAAACATTGAAACTAAAGCAAAAGAACCACGTGCTTAAGTCCCCACACCATAATTGGTCTCTACTACTACCAACTAATAAAACTGCATTAATCATAATGAATGCATGTAGGCATGATTTACTAAATTTTTAATTAAATTTGGCGACAGTGTCCTTGTCATTCTGTGTACAGAATAAATAAATATTTCCAACACTCACACCAATTAGCCTAGCCCCAAAGTAAGCACTGTAAAGGCTTGTGTTATAGGATACTAGGGTAACGGATAGAATACATATATTGTACATATATAAGTATATTTATATGAAATACATATTAAACATCCATGACTGGAGTACAAATGCTCGTATTTATCACACAAACATCTGCCCCCACCGGGATTCGAACCCGGGACCTCTCGAGTCGGCGACGCCATGAAACCCGGCGTATAAACCACTCGGCCACGGAGGTCGTCGAAGAATATAATGCTGTTATCAAATTTAAGTTTAGGTTTACAGAGGTGATGATTCTGGCGTGATTCTCTATACTTAAAATTAAATTTAACATCAGTCTCTCCTTTACATTCTGTATAGAGAATGACAAGGACTGTTGTCAAATTTAAGTTTAGATTTAGAGAACCGCGCCAGAATCGACACCAGAATCATGCCAGAATCAGACAACATTGTTGTCAAATTTGAATTTAGATCAAGATAATGTTGCCAGAATCATCGAGCTCACTACATTTCTAGTTAATAGAGATGTGCCGATATTCGGCAAGTAGCAAAGCGAATATTAGTTAACTTTACAGGGTTATCAATTAAAAATGCTTGTCAAAGTGACATGTAAATGCGCTGCCGTTTGATTTTAAATATAAATAATATTCGTCAACTCTCTACAAAATACTTTTATGTTGTGTATGTATAATTTCATTGTTAGACAAAATGGAAGCTTTATTTATAGAAACTTTTATCAATTATGAGTTTCCAGCATATTTGCTTACAAATAGTAAACATGTTCATTGACTTTTCGGCAAACCAAACGAATGTACGACCGAAAACTAACAAAAATATTCCGAACATACCGAACACATCTCTACTTACTAACAATTGAACATTCACATTGAAATATGTACATAAAATGACATTTGGAATTTAGCGAACTGTTTTTTTTTTTATTACTTAGTTGATTTTATGAAACTTTAAAATCTGCTTTCTTGAAATATAATAATAAAATTCATTTCCTTTTAATCTATCACATTAGAAGTACCATTGTTGTGTTACAACTAAGGTTGATTTTAACTTGAAAATATAAGATTTTTTGAAAATGCACAATTTGCTACCATAATTGAATATAATACTATGGCATATTGAATATAATATGGTATGTAGAATACAAAATACAAGCTTGAATCAAAGTGGCTTTTCAGCTGTAGTTTGTACAAAAGGTAATTTTTTGTTTGATAACTTTGTGATTTTTTGGAAATATTAAAAGTCCAACATAATAAAATACGATGACAAAATTAAAATTAAAAATTGTACGCACTTGAATCTTAGTGGCTTTTAACGGTTGAGTAGGTAGCAGAGACCTCTAAACTAACTTACAGCTAAAATGTTTGGTTACAAAGAAAACAAATGTGTGTTAACTACTCTGTAGGTACACCAATCAATTTATAAACTACTTTTGATAAAAATGGCACTAGATGCAGAACAAAAAATAATGCACGGCATTTTGACTTTTTCTATTTAGAAAAAATGAGAATAATATTTAATAGCATAATGGCAACATTATCATACTATTATTTTGAATTAAGATTTCCACGATCATAAAGAAAAAAATCTATTAAATTCTAATTAATTGATTTGCACTTACAAGTTATCAGATTTTCTTGCCTTACTGTCAAATTAATTTACAGCATTGTAACAGATTCAAAAATAGTCATTAACGACAACATTATAAAATAATAATTATGTCCCAGACACAAATACTATATATTTCCGTACAATAAGATTGAAAACAATAATAACTTTTAATCAGTATGTGATCAGTTTAATTTTATTGTTTAAAAGTGTATCTTTTTTTTGTTTTTGTAAATTGAAAACTGGCGACACTTTATTTCTAAATACAGGTTTTACTTATAAAAACCAGCTGTTGCCAGCTTACGAATCAAATTTGATAAAAGCGTGAAAATATGTGAATTTCCTTCAATATGACCTGATTATGAAATTTACCAAAACTGGTGCCATTTCTTTCTATGAATGAGATAATAATACCTAAACATATTAATTAAAAATGAAAGTGAATATTTCTAAAAAAAAACACGCATTCGAAAAATTAAATTATCATGTGCTGTATATAGCCACAGTTTGGTAATTGCTAAATGTACAAGAGACTATGTTTCAGACTAGATTTCTTTGTAGACTTAGTTACTATTAAAAAGTTCAGCTGAGTTCAATAATGAGATTCTACTGTAACTGTATATCATATAATTCATTATTAAATTAAAAAAGGATGCACTGGTGCTATTTGAATTGCTACATATCCTATCTCTGAATTATTGCTTGCAACAGTGCGGAAATATCGGGGACTCGCAAATAACAAGGTACCTACATGCGTGTATATCAATAACGCTAATAACTGTAGTAACCATGAAATATTATAACATTATATCTATAATTTGTTTCTATTTTTGTGACATACATTTGAAAGAAAAGATACCACTCATTTGTAAACATTGAAAATAACGAATGAAAATACTTAACCAAAATTAATTAGGATTCTAATAACATTCGGTTTACAAATTTTCCAACTTGTCTCAGTCCACTCCAGGTGGGATTCGAACCCACGACCATTCGCTGACTGTACGACTGCTCTACCACTGAGCTACCAGAGACCTTAACGAGACTGTTGAATATATCACTTAATAGTTTTAACTTTCGATTACCAAATAAGTTATTTAAAATGAATTTTCTTAATAGCAAAATAGATATTGATTAAAGGCATTGACTTAAAATATATATACTATTATGTGTCTACAACGTGTGTGATATCCAAACAAGAGAAAAAGGAGAAAATTTTTGAGTTAGCCAAGGGTAGAGCCCTGAGGCACCCCATCTTAAACTTCGAACCAGATCTGTTAAGATGTAAATTATTCGAACACTCGCAATGAAGAAATGAGGCATTAAAATCATACATCTCTAGCTAAATTTATAATAGTAAAGTTCTCTGACTGATATTCCGTGTAGAATAAAATCCAAAGCTTTAGTCAAATCACAATAAATTCATAGTGCGCGCGGAAGATAAAAATTCTGATAAATTATCAAAACGGTAAAGCTCCAAACTGTGGTGATATAACAAACACACAATTATAATTTCTCGGCGCACATTTTGTTAAAAATATCAACTTTGTTCCAATCCCTTAAAAACTAATTTGGCCAATTATTGCACTTAACGAAGAGACTTAACTAAAATGGCTCGAGATATGGGCACAAAATTCATTTATTAATCTACAGTTTACAACATGTTAAATTGAATTTCTCTCAGACTAATACGAGATTATGGAAAACCGTAACCAAGACAGTCATCAAATCTATGGAAAGTTTAAAATCCTCTCTTTATATGCCTTGTTTATCTAAATGTTTATAATGATGCAAATTGTTTATTTCCAAAACCCAAATTACGAAAAATCTAATAAACAAGGATATAGCAAGAGAAACAGCGTTGTTAACAAGAATTGATAGAGGTAGATTTAGATCTGAACCGAACACCAAGATCGATGTACTGAAAATGTAATAGTCCGCGTCTTTTTTTATTTACATCGAAATGAAAAAGACAGTCTTAAAGATATGCCACTAATACAGAAAAGGAAGCATGTAAAGAGTTCGAATAAAGGCTCTGAAAAAAAAATTAATACTTTATTATAGTTAAAATTTCATGCACTATTTCTGCCCTCAAAAATTTCAATACTTTATTTGGAATTTGAGCAATGTCCACTAAGGCACATCAATTGCTTCGCAGCAATTTACATTTCAGAAATACCAAAAGAACACAAGAGCCCACGACACGCCAATTTTCAATACAGTAACGGCGGTAGATCGAACAGTCAAACTTCAAAGGCGTAATTTCAATTATCTTCTTATTTTTGTAATTCCAAACCTGCAGAGCTCCTCAAAGTGGCCTATCGATCTACCGTCGCAACTATCAAGTTGAATCGCGCAAGTATCAAGTTTAGCCGGGCGGCCATCCCATTTGCCTACCGCCTAGCACATGTAAATGCACGTGGTATACAGACTGCGCTCCGTCGCGTCCGTTGTTTACCACCAAACGCCACCCCGAAGGAGCACGTTTGGCGCCGAGCAAGCGAGCTACCAGCATTAAATGGCCGAGGAGCTGTGAAAACAAAAAAAACTTTTTTTAGCTCCATAGCAAACAAAGGCTATTGATCAATACATTTGTGTACAATTAAAGTCTCGAATACATTACGGGTCAAATACTGCATTATATTGCGGGAAAATTCGGACAACTACGTGAAATTCTCTGGACTAATGATGCGAAACATTTTGCAGGCTATATTAGTCTGTGCTTATAGAAATGTCGCACGAGGTGGTAGATTGTGGCTATTAATGCTGCATACAGACTTATCGGGATAAATGCAACGATATTCAATGCCCTAGATACACCAACACGAACAAAACCGTGGCCGAAACCTGTCCAAAAGGTACATTGAACGATCCACGGAGCTCCTTAAGATGATCGCGTAGTAAAAAATAATATAAGGCATTGTTTAAACATTGAAAGTCACCTTTAATGCATATTGTATAAGGTCTTAATTAAAACGCATACGTCAAAGAGACATTTCGAATGCGGAAGAATATAAACCTTATTTCTTTGTCTCTACGCGCAATTCTGAATGCGCTATTTGCAAAATAGCAGTTACGGACCGCGAGCAAAAGAGACGGCTATATTACCGACCATGCATTTGAATATTATAAATATTTTCTATCAAATCAGTTTATAGCAAGTATTAGAACAAAATTATCTTCAAATGCGTTAAATTAACAAAAAAATATTAAATAACTGTCAAAAAAACGACACTTAACGTACTATAAGTATTGTTTTCGTATTTTTTCACGAAGTTCTGCGGCATCTTTACTTTTCAACGGTCCGCATGTGACTGTGAACCAAGAAGTGCTTGAGTGGTGTTCAAGCACTTCTCGATTGGGACACATTTTGAGCGCACGTGGTGTTTCTATGGTATTTAATATCGTTGGTTACATGTTAAAAGCACGTTGCGCATATGACAATACTCTGGAATAAACGACGCGATAATGACGCGCGGGACACATGCGCTCGCTCTCGGAGCAGCAAGCAAAATGTTCCGCGTCTCGCGTGTGACGCATTTACAGAAACAAAAGGTGTGGGGGACGGGGGGCAAGTTGCGGGACGTTGCAGCGTACGTAGATTGAGCGTTGTGCGACATGTTGGACATGACATGACATGTATTAAGCTATTGATAATGTTACTGAAATCTAGGCACTCCCAGTTGACATGGGTTTGTCACCCCAAAGGTCGTCCAGGGGTGACAAAGCCTATTATGTCCCCACTGATGGGGCACAGGCCTTCCCTATGGATGGAATAGGGAGATTGGGCCATGACCCACCACGCGGGCTTAGTGCGGATTGGTGGCTGCTAACCACTGCAGATGCAACCGGGGCCAACGTCTTAACGTGCCTTCCGAAGTACGGAGGAGCTCGAGACAGTAAATGTTTGGTCACCCATCCAATGACCGACCACTTGAAATGAAAATTACTTAACTTCAACGATCGCAGCCGAACGCGCTAACCACTTGCGCCATCGAGCTCCTCAATCCCCAATTTATAATAATAATATATTTATTTCATAATAAGGTAGGGTTACAGGTTACAGCTCAGCTTAGTACTAGTCAAATTGTTACAGCATAGATAAATGATTGGTCTCACTTCTCATTCATCTATGTCCTGGTTTCCGAACCTGGGGGTAATTACCCCTCCGGGGGTAAATCAGCCATACTTCGGGGGTAACAAAAAACCTAATTATTTGGCCAAATCTAAATAAAAAGAAAATACTATATAATAATACTACTAAATAGAGCATGCGCTCCTTCTTGCTGGCGAGCCCGCGGGGTGCCGAGTGTGGGAAGCGGGGCGAGATTTTCTCCTGATGATGACATTATTGGAGACGAAGATGTAGCGGCCAAATTGGAATTGCTTGGACTGATGATAACATTTTAGAGTCGGGGTTAAATCTGTTTTCCTAATAGGTTACAGGGGTAGCAGTATTGGAAAAGTTAGGAAACACGGATCTATGTGTTACAGCTTAAAAAACATGCAATTGGGAGTCTCCAACTATTTACGCTTCGAATTCCTTTGAAAATAGAAAAATGTTTATCTTGCCGTATACGTAGATGATAAGAGTGCGTTTATCTGAAGGCGGGTGAGCAACACCTCTGGTATGTTGATAATTGTCGATCGCAGCGATAACAGTTACACTTGTGCCATGCAAAAACATTGTTTTTCACGACGACAATGCGATGATACTATCTACTGCTAATTGTCTGCTATCTGTACATTAGACATTTTATTAAAAAATGCCCTATAAATATTTATTAAGCACGATCATAAGAATTTTTTTAGTATAATTGAATGTTTTTTGTATAATTGAGGAGCTCGATGGCGCAAGTGGTTAGCGCGTTCGGCTGCGATCGTTGAAGTTAAGCAACTTTCGCAGTGGTCAGTCATCGGATGGGTGACCATAAATTAACTATCTCGAGCTCCTCCGTGCTTCGGAAGGCACGTTTAGCCGTTGGTCCCGGCTGCATTTGCAGTCGTTAACACCCACCAATCCGCAATGGCCCACGTAGTGGGTCATGGCCCAATCTCCCTATTCCATTCATAGGGAATGCCTGTACCCCAGGAGTGGGGACATTAATAGGATGGATAGGATTAGGGAGCTTGTTAACGTCCGATTTCCGCCGGGTCTAGGCACGGTTTTAAACCGCGTCTACGTTCGGTCATCAGTTAAGTATGGGACACTATAGGGTTTTGTTAACGACCGGAATGGGTTGAAACCGTGTTTAGATCCGGCGGAAAACCGGTCGTTAACAGGCGCCCTGTGAGCTTGTTTTTACCCGGCCCGACGACGGGCTGGATCCCGGATAAGCTTGTTCACAACAACATGTTTGTGCGTTTGTACTGACCCCAAACCGTCACTAGCGCCGGTGTTGTTAACAAATCTCCATAGCGTCCCATTTTTTATTACTGTTGATCTTAATCTACTATATAAAAATAAGTCGGGTTTTCCTTCCTGACGCTATAACTCAAGAATGCACGAACCGATTTCCACGGTTTTGCATTCGTTGGAAAGGTCTCGGGCTCCGTGAGGTTTATAGCAAAGAAAATTCAGGAAAAATTTCAAAAAAAAAAATCTTCTTTTAATCACCAAACGAAATGTTACATAAAACGAAGCCATCTGATGGCGAAACGGAGTTCGCCTGGTTTGCTAGTTATTTAATAAAATTATTTGAATTGCTTATTGATTTGATTTTTCTGACGTAAATTTGTTGACCTAAACCGAAATTATTAAATTATAATAAATATTATGTAAGTGAATTTTGAATAGATTATTTCTTTGATTGTTATTATTACTTGTTTATTTATTTTTTGTTTTAATTGACATACATATCTTGACCTAACCCTAAATGTATTTTATAATTGTTTAAAGTATTATATAAATTAATTTTAAATAAAATATCTTTAATAACTAATTTAATATTTAGTTATGTTTTTATTTTTTAAGCGTTTAACTGCCAGATGTTTAAATCTAAAGAAAAGTTTACTAGAAAGTCGCGAGTAAAATAGGGGAAAAAGTTTTTTAGATGAAGTCATTGCTTGGTAATAACGAGTCAAGCCTTGCATTGAAAAATAAAGTCTGCAAAAAACCACAATAAAATTTATACAGAGCCCTACACAGTGAATGGCATGACAAGCACTTGGCTGATTTATTTATACTGCAGAAATATAATTTAAGATTTTTTAAAGTCACTTAAATATAATTTGAATAATTAAGAAACTACCTCTAATCTCATTAAGAAACTGCCTCTGAGTGGCAATATTTTAAGAATGTTAATTAAAGCTTATGATTTTTTAATGTTTCATTAAAATTCAAACTAGATACCTATTTATAGGTTTTATTGGTAAGCCCATTTTCAGTGCCAACTTTCGATTCTCTTAGTAGTACTAGTAACTATGTATTTTTTATTTGAATAAGAGAAATCAAACTTTATAATGCATGTTAGTCCTAAAATGTATTTTTTTTTACATAGGTGATTCTTTATATTACATACTAGTGGCCCGCCCTCGCTTCGCTTCGGTGTAGAGCTGTAGTGTAAACTATAGTTTTTGTTCTCAGGCTTGTGCTATACAGAATGACTTTATTTATATAATTACACGTGTTATTGTGAGTCAACCATAAAAGATAGACATATGCTGTTGCGGGATATTTTTTAGACAATTTTATGTAGAATATTTCCGTCATACATGATTTCTATGTAACTTTAACCATTAAGGCTGCACCCGCGACGGAAGCTTAAAAAATGGAGTAACTTCTCCCGTTTTCCCAACATTTCCCTTCACTACTCTGCTGCTATTGATTGTAGCGTGATGAAAAGTATACTATAACCTGCCCAGGAGTATGAAGAATAATTGTACCAAGTTTCGTTAAAATCCGTTGAGTAGTTTTTGTTTCTATAAGGAACATACACACAGACAGACAGACAGACAGACAGACAAAAATTTTACTGATTGCATTTTTGGCATCAGTATCGATCACTAATCACCCTCTGATAGTTATTTTAAAAATATATTTCATGTACAGAATTGACATCTCTACATATTTATTATAAGTATATAGATTGTAACTAGTCTTTATGTCAAATTATATGGTCCTAGTGGGTGCCAGCGACTTCATCTGCCTGGAAATATTAGTTTTTGATAGAAATTTAGAGATTATATATACAGATTAATTAAAATATTCATGGTCCTCATGAGAAACAGTAATAAGACAGAGTGCAAAAATATTTGTTATCAAGACAAAGTGATAGGAAACAATGTGCTATGAAAGTAACTAACATTATCAAAGTAAACAAAATGATAAGCTGATTCTCATTAAGTATCACAGAAAAACCTGTAATTACCAATTAATTACACAACATAATGAAGTTGTTATAATGGCAAAATATTATACAAATTTTAAGCTAAATACATCACACCTAAATGAGATTGTAACAATTTTGCCAGCTGAGAGGATATAAAGGCAAAACAGGTATTACTGACCTATATTTTCAATTGAGATTTACTTTTTCTAGGGGGAGAGGTGCAAATCATAACTGCCTCCCCCTAAGAAAAATCTCTAGCAATACCCATGTAGAGAGCCCATCATAGGCACTGATAAAATTAGTCAGACAGAAGTCTAATAAATGTGTCATAAAAAGATTATACTGTCTGCATACTCCATAAATCCATTATAATAATCATAGATATATAAACAATTATCATAATCATCAGTCTTTTATTGGTCATGCTGCTGGGACACACCTTTGAAAATGGGTGGATTGCATACAGGATCGGTGGAGGGGCAAAGGAGAGGAAGCCAGTTATGATTTGCAACCCCCCTGGTTGATGACCTGTCGTCATGGTCAGATTTAAGGCAAGGCAGGCAGAGCTACTGCTCAGGAGCCTCAAATAACCAAATTTCAACAGTTCACCAACTCTAATGCCTTTTTATATCATATTTTTTTTTGAAATTTTCACTGTTAATATTTGCACAAACATATTTTTTTAAATAACTACAGATTTTTGGTTTGAATTTCGAGAGGTCGGAGAGAGCTTATCATAAATGACAGATTTTAAAGGGCTCTCCTTCATTGTCCGATGTCCTGAATCTAAATCTGGCATGACAATCTATTTTTATTATAATGAGAAAGCCCTAATTTACTGCCATTGGAATGTATTCATCTGCAAATGTGTGACGTAAATCATGCCACTTAAATCAAAATTTGTTGAAAAACTTATGAATTGCTTTACTATAATACTAAGTTGCTAGGTAAAACTGTACTTCCAGGCCCAAAAGGTGATACTTGTTTTTTTTGTAGAAAAGGTCTTTTTAACAGATTTTTTTTTCTGGCGCTTTGCCGGCCTTTGCCGCGGCACGCTCACAACACTAACCTAACCTAACCTAGTGTGAAGTATCACCACTTGGTAAGAAAAGTAAAAATTTTCAATATGTTTTTCTAAAAGACTACCAGCGCATAAGTGTGACATTTTTTTCAAATAATGGTTAACAGAAACCTTTTTAACAACAAAAATGCGAAATTACAACCAACAAAACTGTGAAGTTTTTACTTTTGGGCCCTGGAAGTACAGTATATCCAGTTGCTATGTTTGTAAAATACGAGATTTAGAGCCTTTCGGTTTATTATCTTGTCTTTCTTAATGTGTGGGTGTATTACGACGAATTTTGTTTGGGGTAACAGTAAGGCAGCGCAGGTTTCAGTAACTTCCAATTAGCCGAATTTCGGCTTTTAGTCAGGACTATGGGCTTAAAATGCTGGAAATTCTTGGATCTTAGCCTCCCCCTTTGCGTTACTTTGACCCAAATTTTACCTCTTTATCATCATCAGCGGCGTCCTGTAGCCTCGAGATCCTCCGCTTAGGTATCACCAGGAAGTGAACGGGCGCTTGCGGCGATATGTCATTAAAGGCGAGGCACATCTCGTCTTCATATATTATGTCTGCTTTTATTTCTTTCGATATTATCTTGTCGAAGATCGTGGGACCAGGTGTCGCCACGCTCTGCGCCTGGGCTTTCCGAACTTCATCGCTATAAGGCCTCTTTACTTCTATAGCAGAGCCCCTTGATAAATCGTAGATGTTGGTCGGGTAATTCTTCTTCAGTCGAAATTTCAACGTACGGTCGAAAGCGCGCTGGAACAACTTGTTGAACATTTTCGCTCGAGTTTCGCTATTTCACATTTTATGCAAGAAACTACGCAATAAGAAACACAGGCACCTGGAGTCGGGAATTTTGTTTTGAAAATCTGTCCAAAAAATTAAATGTCAAGTGTCAAAGTGACTGTTGATTTTTTAAAGTTTACTGATTGTCAAGGTAAAGGCTCCTAAATCTATACAGTCAAATCTCCATGTATTTTTGGTATGGTTGTGAAAAGGATGTCATTTCCTTAACCATTGATTTTCAAGTGTCGAAATAATTTTAGGCGTCAGTATCAAAAAATTTATATGAGTTAAATAAATTTCTTTATAAAAGTTAGGTATATAAATCAGGTATTTTAATTTATTATATTAAAACCAATTAATATTATATAAAAACACATTATTATTCGTTATTATCATTTAATTCATATTTGTACACCTTTTCCTTAATTTAACAATACATTAATAGTTATATTTATAATTTACTGTGGTTATTTTTACAGATTTTAAGTACCTTTACCACGTGACGTAGCTTAGAGTAAGTTATATTAAAATTATTTAGAATTAGATAAAGAAAGAAATTAAAAGTCTGCCGACGCCTCTAACGAGGTTGTAGATGTAGACGCTCTTCAATGCAAACCGAAATAGCAAGAAGAAGAATATGACAAGTAGAGTCTGATGCACCAGATGCAACCTGAAACCAAATGATGTAATCACGACCAAAGTCAGAGACGTACAATAAAAGAGAGTCCGTCTCCGGCAGACTCCAAACCTTTATGATATGTAGTAAACTTAATTATAAATATTATTAAATATTTTAAGGTTTTTGGTTTTAGTTTTATTGTTCTAGTATTTATATTTTACTTATATATAGTAATTACGTAATTAGATAGAGACTTATTTGTTTATAGTTAGTGTATTTTATAGTTTTATGATGTGAAATTGTTAACATAAACATATATTTTTTTTTGAGTTTTCAATTGATATATTATTATAAATCGTTTGACAAAAAACTATTATTTGTTTTGTCCCCGTTTATATATCTCATTATATTTTTAGGTATGTCAGGGAGATTTTATTTCACGACAAATCTATCATCATTCTACGAATATCACGCATGACTGGACTGATTGACATTTGAAATAGTGATTGAATCTCGATTGAATTGACGTTATAAGCTGCCACATACCTACTAAAAATATGTCGTTACCTAGTACAAGGTGGCCAGCATATTCGTAAAGACGGTGTAAAAGGTAAAGGTATGATTTAACGAACTCAGCTCAGTTCTTAGTTGGGACTAGAATCACCAGTTACACACATCCGAGCTTCGACGTGGAGGAATCAGTGATTTTTGGTCGGGCCAGCAATTCAAATGAGTGGACTAAGGTAGTGATGTTACGGTCTTGAATTTTGACAAACCGGATTTGATCGGTTAGTAATACATGCAAATCGGTTTCCGAACCGAACCGCCAAATTTTCAATAAACCGCGGTTTGAACCGTTTGACGAGTTGACGAATGATACTTACGAAACAACAGGTGTTAGTTTTTTTTAATTCTACTTATTTTGTTGATATTACAACGTGCAAATATTTAAAGGTAATTGAAAAAAAAATATGAAAACAAATAATAATAATAATCAAAATTAAAAATGTCAAAAAAAAAAACAAATATCTATGTAATACCGTGTTTAAAAAATTACAAAAAAATATATGAACTCTATTAATTACATAAAACCGTACTTCTTAACTTTCGAGAATAAAATATAATTTTAATAATCTACAATATAATACATAAGTAACTTATTTTTGTAAAATAATTTGAGTCGTAGAAACTTAACTTGGTACAAACAACTTAATTAAAAAGTTTTCTAACAACTATTTAGGAATAATATTTGGTCTACTTTTTTAGAAGCTGGGCAATTTCGTCGCATTACATAATAATGAAAACAAAATTACACCGTCAAGTCAGTCAAATCTACCAGAGTCCGTTTCATTTCGGTTCGGTCGGTAAGTCGGTTATGGCTGTTGTATTTAAATTGACGACGCGCGCTAACCGTATCCGCTGCTGTAAGTCGGTTCGTATTGGTCTGTCAAGTTTTATCGGTCGGTAAAGCATGTCAGGAGCCGCACGCGATTTATGGATGGCGGCATAAACAAGAATTGACAGACGCGCATGCGCGCAGCGCGATACGAACGAATGCCACGGTAGAACCGGTTTACGAAGACGTTAACCGATTCAACTCGGTCCATGCTCTGACCGGTTTGAACCGGTTTGAAAAGTCGAGTCGTTATATCTCTAGACTAAGGATTTTGGTTGCTTTATATTTGACTGGAGTACAAATGCTCGTATTCATCACACAAACATCTGCCCCTACCGGGCGATAAACTGGGCGAACAAACCACTCGGCCACGCAGGTCATCAAATCGATTGAAGATCAAGTGATTTCCCATACCTACAAACTCCCATCCCCCATTTCAACCCCTCAAGGGATTATTTCTGGGATAATAACCTAACATACGCCCTTTCCCGAGACTCAATCTACGAGTATATCTACTATACATAAACCATATACATTTATTTTATTCAGTTCAGGTGTTTAAAAGTGAAGAGGTGTAGGAAGCGGCCAACTTCTTGACCAAATCCAAACCATAGACATTTTTTTGGTTTGTTTTTCCCTGCTCAGGGAAGGCAAGGGGATCTAAGCCCATACAGCCATTGTCATCAGAGGTTATAATTCTCTATTAAATTAACTTATAACTTTTGGTTTCTTCGACTATCTTCAACAATTTCAACAAATCTAAGACATCTTCTTTTCTTCAAGCATTGAGTAACCATAGTTGTTGCTTATTCTTTGTTTCTTTTTTTTCCTGACTGCTTCTTTTTTTTTCAGCTGGCAGTGAGTTATTTTATTATATGAATTGGGGAGCTAAGGGTGCAGTTCAAATATCACCAATGGATGAAACAATAAAATTGTAAATAGGTTTAAAGCATCCTGGATTACTTAATAAAGTTTGAATGGAGCGCGGGATTGCATCAGGGTTTTTATAGATTTCTAATAGGGAATTTATAAACGTTAAATAAAATTGCACAGTAGACGTTTTAATAAGTGGTAAAAAATGCACAGACTTAGAAAGCTTTAAGTGCGCAGGCTTCCTTGTCTATGGTCGTTGCTCAAGAAGTTTGCCAGGCTGTAAGTATAACAGACAGACCGATAATACAAGAAATGTACACGCCCACTTAAGTTCGATCTGTAGCAAAAATATATGTTAGGCTGAGTAATAATAATTTAAAAAACACATACTAAATAATAAATAAATAAATATTACCAACCCTCACACCAATTAGCCTAGCCCCAAAGTAAGCACTGTAAGGCTTGTGTTATGGGATACTAGGGTAACGGATAGAATACATATATGGTACATATATAAGTATATTTATATAGAAATACATATTAAACAACCATGACTGGAGTACAAATGCTCGTATTCATCACACAAACATCTGCCCCCACCGGGATTCGAACCCGGGACCTCTCGAGTCGGCGACACCATGAAACCCGGCGTACAAACCACTCGGCCAAAAGGCTCGGAAATACTTAGATGGTTAATAAAATCGGCTTCAAAACTGCGTAAAAACTTTTTGCTCAATGTAACTTTAATTTATGCTAGGGCCTATATACGAGTATGTGTCTGGGAGTAAATATCTTAGAAATCATAATAAACTCACATGCGCAAGCGCCGCCTCGCCTTCGGCAAGTCTTCGTCTTTTTCCTTCAACACGTACTTCCTGACACCTTTCACGTAGTTTTTCACATGCTCGTCCCATCTGAAATGATAATAGGAATAATAGGGGTGATGACGGGGTATGGTAAACGAAATTCTATTTAGTCCGTCAGTTAGATGATCAAAATTAATGGACACGTATTTTTTCTTTGGGCAATCAACCAAAAAATGACAAAGTTATAGCGCGTCAAAGTTTGGGAGAAGGGGCTCGTAACGTCACTTTTTAGTGAATTTCACTTAAAAGTGTACCAAAACGTAACGTCATGTAACTTTTCAAATCAATATAGCTCTGCAATGTTTATATTATGTGAAAAAAGAAAAAATACGTGTCCAATACTTTTTGATAATCTACCTGATAAACGAAGAAAAAAAATAGTCATTATCCCTATTTTAAACTAAATTTCGTTTATGATAATGCAGGCACAGTAAGGTAAGAAAAAGGTTTACAGAGAACTTTTCATATCTTTATATTGTGTTTCATTCAACCAAAAAGGGAAGATACGGTACGCTCATACTAGCATCAAAGAAAATTTGCTAAGCAACTCTCACACACGCACACGTCTGTTAATAAACATTCAAACGAGCGAGCGAGACAGAACTACGCTTCAACGCTGCGCGAGCGATAAGTCGAGTCCGCATCGCTCGGCTTGGTGACTGCGTTTTCTTTTCTCTCTCTACAAACGGCTGAGCTGTATTGTTGTCCTTTTCTTGATAACAAAATGGCCATATAAATATTCGCTCGCTTCGCTTCGGTGTAGAGCTGAAGTGTAGACTACAGGTTTTGTTCTCAGGCTTGTATTATACACAATGACATTCATCTATGATTCTTCTTATAGCTGCATGCAAAGTCTCAGCCCGATCGGTTTAAAATTGACAAAGTTTCATACAAACTTTCATTCCCTATTTTATCCCCTTGTGGGTAGAATTGATCAAAATCCTTTCTTAGCGGATGCCTATATATAGTTTTATATATATAGATGTGATAGAATTTTTTAAATGTAAACCAACCTATCCCAAAGCGCGTGATCTTGTGGACGCTGCAGGCCTAAAGAGTGGGCGGTAAGAGACCCAGAAAAAAATGGGAGCGTTGTGTAAAGGCTTGGGAATTTCATCTAAGAGCAATTAATTTTATTTGAAGTTATACTGGTTTTTAAGTAGATGAAAAAATGCGGGTACTAATAAATTGTTTATTCTCAAAGTGGGCAGTGGACAAAATAAATTTGTGAACCCCTGATGTAAACTGCTAAGCTCCTGCTGCGGTGATAGTATGAAAATCTAAATTATAATGACCTCACCGTATAGTGTTAGGGTCCAGGTTGTATATCTGGGCGTCTGCCCGCGACAGACTCTCTCTCAGCCGGCGCATGTTGTCAGACTTGAATCTCCACTCGTTCATGGAAAACAGTGAAAGAATCAGGTTGATGTTCTGCAGCTGCTTGCTTACTGAGATCAGGTTTATTCTGTGGGCAAATAAGATTGAGGATTTATTGGAGTTTACTCCTTAAGAATCGATTTGCATATATAAGGGGCCCGGTCTGAGAAAAATGTGAGGAGTAAAATCTATCGATGAATGACATTAATGACCTCGTTACGTTTTTTGTGCGCAACCTCATCTGCGCACCTTTCACTTTTAGCCATGGCAACGGATAAAAAACATTAAGTTGTTACAAATGTCAATAAAATAAATAAACTAAAAATAGATAAAATTAATGAAAACAAATAAATAACAGAATATAGAGAAATGCCGGTAAGTGTCCAGCACTCTGGAATAGAGATTTTCAGTACAGATGGAATTATAATACATATTTACAAAATGATGACTAGTGTGTGATATTTTTGAAATGGTGTGTTTCCAGAAATACATAATAAAATATATGATGAATATCGTTGATGTTAGATGATAAAATGTGTAACATGGAACCTATGATAGTCGAAACCATGGGACGATTCCTGAGGTATCTCTACTTGTAACCGACTTCTGCGGACTTGATTTTGTTTTGTGTCTGTTCAAAGACAATCGTTTTTAGAGTGTAAACTCCGGTCGTGCGTCGGAGCTGACACACACAATTTTTTTCATTGGGAATCGAATGTAGCCGCATGAGTTTAAACATACGAGGACAGTTTTTAGCTTTGTATTTGTATGCAACCCGATATCTGTAGAATTGTTGATCGAAGATTTTTGGCCTTTGTACGCTCCTGTGTTTACCTTTGCGATACCAAATAAAAAAGCGATGTAATGTCAAATGAATGTATCTACCCTTTTTGTTTTCATCTAAGCTGCCAACACGCCATTAATACATCTTGTTTGGGTACTATAAATCGCGGCAAGAAACTCTACCGCTGGTCGTTATTGCGCAGAAGTAAAAATGAAGATGTGTTGGGGGGGAACGAGGTGCGCGGGGGGCCGATACGCAGGGACTGCCTGTACGTAAAGTATATGCGAAAGTGTACGCCCAAACGTCATTGCATTACGTCATTGTTTTTAAGGTTTGATTGTTACTAACAGTTCTATGGATCTAGTATCTGAAATAAAATATTATTATTATTATTATTTCCTTTATTTCATTAAAAATACATACAAAATTATATTTCTAAATATAAAATTTTTACAATGTATAACATTAAAAAAAATAACATTTAAAAATACAAAAATGTAGTTCCCCATCGGCAGCAAGATCAGGGTCCCTGCTACCGGCGCGGCGGTTAAGGATCCAGAGATTATTATTATTATTACTTTTTTATGACTACGATGAATGCACGTGCGTTGCGTATTTGGTCCCTACACACTTTTGTGATAATTCTGATGCGTATATTTCTACCGGGACATTAATTCCACATGAGTATAGTACCCCTAGCACGAACCATTATCAAATTCGAATAGTTTACGAGTGCGAAATGTCATTGTCAAATGTGTACAGATTTTTAGTTCTTGTTACGTACTTTGTGGCGCTGCTGTTCAAGTTTCCATACAAAATTTCACATTGACATTTCGGACTCTAAAACTATTCGAATTCGATAACGGTTGTGTACGCCCAAACGTTATTGCATTACTTCTTTATGACTACCTATGAAGAATGCTCATGCAATGCGTATTTGGTCCCTAGACACTTTTGTACTAATTCTGATGCGTGTATTTCTGCCGCGACATTAATTCCACATGAGTACAGCCGTTGGTTACTTACTTGGATTTTATTCCGAATATCATCTTGAAGTAATGCGCAACATACAGCGGCAATGTATTCAACAGAAACTCAAATACTTTGAACAGGTATCTGCAAACAAAGCATAATGAAAAATTATGAAGCATAATAGAAAATATTTCAAGAAAAAATATCAACTCGGTCCAAGTTTCAGTACCAACCCGCATCTACCGATATCCGACCGGATAGTGGAAGAGTGGAATTTTCCTTGTGAAATTTTCTAATTACACCTAATATAAATAACACTATTTGTATTGTATGACACAGCAATCAAAATGCAGGTGAACAATTAATGTATAATTTCACATTTTGTAATGAAATCATTTCTGAAGTCATTTTTATACTAGACGACTCTGAAAATAATAAAACAGGTCGAAAAAAAACAGCCCTTGCCGAGTTTCTTGCCGGTTCTTTTTAGGACAAGGTCTCCCGCCGTAGATTTACGAACCGATGTTGTAGCTTCTAGACATTCACAAAAAAAAAGGGCGTAATGTTTTAAATTCTGCCCCGTAGCAGGTCATAATTCAATAGTACATAGAATTTTTGACACAATAGGGAATTTGCATGTTTTTTTTTATAGTTTTATTTAGTAGTTTACATATCTTCATACATTTTACAGTATAAAAATAGTAAGTTGAAAAAATTGTATAAAGTGTTTAAAAATGATAAAAACAGCAGTTTAAACGCGCGCTGTTTTCAAACGCTTGGATGTGACGTCACGATATATCTAAACCTACAAATAAGCTGAATGACCTTAGAAGATATATATAATAATAATATATTGTCGCCAGCAGTGTTTCCGGACCAATACGACCCAAAAACCTTCAAAAAAAGAGCGTACTCCTTCCTTAAAGGCCGGCATCGCATTTGTGATACTCCTGTGGGCCAATCGCCTACCCAGATTGCTTTGGAAAACGCTATCGCTTACGATTTCATTTTGTTATTTCTAACCGCCGAAATACCTCACGCTCATTTTCTTTAACATTGTTATTACCAATGCAAAAGAAAAAAAAAGAGCGCGAGGCATTTGAAAACCTCAGGGGGCTAGAAATAACAAAATGAAATCGTAAGCGATAGCGTTTTCCAAAGCAATCCAGTTAGGCGATTGGCCCCCTGGTGTTGCAAGTGTCCATGGGCGGCGGTGATCACTTACCATCAGGTGAGCCGTCTGCTATAAAAAAAAAGATACTGACACATTGCGTCACTGAAATAGAAATTATGTTCCATACATTTTTGGTAAAAATTAAATGTCATAGTGAATAGTTTCATTTGTTATCTAGGTGGTACGCGGCTTTGACATCTACGCACTCGCATTGCCATCTCGTTGACATTGGCATATCCTGTGAACATCGTAACAGTCTAAACAAGCTTCTTGGTCTAAACTGAATAAAGTGAAGCGTAAGCGTAAAGCTCCTAACAAAATTGCATTTAGGGGATTGGTTCGTGAGCTCTATCTCAAGAGCATTAAACAGCGTTCTCATATCTGACTGACATAATCATGTATTTATTTATGTATTCTGTTAAGAGTATTTCTATCATTAGTTTATCTTAAATTTGTCTTTATTGCGCCCCCGTCATATTAGTTTATATAAATGATTTTGATTTATTATAATGACCGTACCGATGCCGGTAGTGGGTGAGGTCGCCACAGGGCCAGTAGAAGGCGCGGTCGAGTGGATGGGAGCGCAGCGCCCGCAGCGCGGTGTCCGCGAACTGCTGCCAGGTGATGGGGTTCTCGCCCGTGCTGCAGTTGTATACGAGCACTTCGCGAGACCTGCGGCAAAAAAAAACCTGTTTTAACAAAAAATAAAAACCGCCTTCTTAAAAACGAAACCACTAAATAACAGCGATAAATTTATAGTTTGTTGACATTTAGTGGTGTTTTTATGAACTACGTACAATGGCTAAAACAATTTGTAAACGACATCTAGTACTAGTTCAGAAACAAGGAACCGAACTACGTAGTTTTGGTAATCCTAGCAAAATCGATATGCGTCGTTATGATAAAGATTGTATAACAATATTTTATAAGTAATGTATAAACTAAATTGTGTCTTGTGAAATAATGTTTATTTTATTCCAGATACCTATTTTTTATTAGTGTAGTGGCTGACCCCCTCCAAAATTTCAGGCTGCGACCGCGCCTGAGGAACCTCTGGTTTAATATGTGGTGGATCCGAAACGATACGCTACAGATGACTAGATTATATTCATAACATAATTATAAGTTACCGTCAGCGCGTTTGGTCGGCATCTTGAAGTTTAAGCATCTTTCGCAATAAACCAGTAACAGTATCAATACACAGGACATTAACATATGAGTACCAGTCTCAGTAATCATAATCATAATCTTTATTTGCTAAAAACACGGTATAAAAATATTACATAACAGATTGAGCACGTGTTTTGCCATTTTAAAAATAGCATGCATATACATAATCTAATATATAAAATTCTCGTGTCGCGGTGTTTGTGATTAAACTCCTCCGAAACGGCTTTTCCGATTCTCATGAAATTTTGTGTGCATATTGGGTAGGTCTGAGAATCGGACAACATCTATTTTTCATCCCCCTAAATGTTAAAGGTAATCCACACCTATTTTTTTTTCAATTTTAGATATTTTTTTTTAAATTTTTTTTATGATACAGCATTAGTAAATACATACAACCCTAAAGTTTCACCCTTCTACCACCAACCCCTATTTTTTTATGGCGGTACGAAATTCGCTGGGCCACCTAGTATTTCTATAGAATTATGAATGTCAGAGTTACCTAATATTATGTCAATAAAATATACAATGTCAACATATTAATATAACAAGATTTCTATAAGTATGTCAGATATAAAAAAATAATTAAAAAGATACATTTATCATAATTATTATAGGATAAGTTAAAGTGCTTTTCCGTGCTTCGGAAGACACGTTAAGCCGTTGGTCCCGGCTGCATCTGTAGTCATTAGCACCCACCAACCCGCACTGGGTCCGCGTGGTGGGTCATGGCCCAATCTCCCTATTCCATCCATAGGGAAGGCCTGTGCCCCAGTAGTGGGGACATTAATAGGCTCATGATGATGAAGTTAAAACATGTCATTAATTTTTATTGAAAAAACTTTTTATGTCATAAAAATTGTTTTCATTTAGCCATTTATATAGTTTATTTTTAAACATGTTCATATTTAGCATTTTCATGTCGGGAGAGATTTTATTATAGAGTAACAGTATCAGTACCGCGTAACAGTAAAAGTATCAAATATTCATACCTATCTCGTACGGTACTCCACCCCACAGCAATGAGCGCGTGTATAGCCAAGTCCACAGGCAGCAGATCGGGGCAGGCGTCTCCTCTCGCCAGTTGTACGTGCATCAACCCCTTCCCGGCGGCAACGATGGCGCTGCTGGGGCCGTTCATGCTCTGAACCCAGCCGGGGTAAGGGACGGATATTGATGACACCACTGGAGTAAGGAAAATTTATCTGTTTTAAGCAACGATATTAAATACCCTAGATACACCAACACGAACAAAATCATGCCCGAAACCTGTCCAAAAGGTACATTGGACGATCCACGGAGCTCCGTAAGATGATCGTGTAGTCTAAACAATATAAGGAATTATTTAAACATTGAATATAACCTTTAAAGCATACTGTATTAGGTCTTAATTAAAACGCACGCGTCAAAGAGTTATGACAGTCCGATATTAAGCTCGTAAAATTTTACGACTTATTGCAATATGCAGAAGAATAAAGACCTTATATATATATATATATATCTTTGACTCTACGCGCAATTCTGAATGCGCTGTTAGTAATATAGCAGGTACGGTTCGCGAGGAAAAGAGATGGCTATATTATCGACCATGCATTTGAATATCACAAATATTTTCTATTAAATCAGTTTATAGTAAGTATTAAAACAAATTTTACTTCAAATGCGTTAAATTAACAAATATTGATTAGATACCTGTCGAAAAAACGACATTTTACATTCTATAAGTATTTTTGGCAAGGTTTAAGGTGAGCAAATGCTCATAACTTGACCAAAACTTTGTTCTGATTGTGTCGTTGCTTCCAGGTGTGAGCGATTATTGGTTTGATTGTTGATTAGCTATTAACTATTAGGTGGAAATGTAGTGGGGGCGAGCTGGCGATATGGTTTCCCGTACAAAAGGTCTATGGTCACCCTGCTAACCTTTTTCTGTGTTGTATGCTCTATACAGACTAAACTTTTGTCAAATTTCGTTAATAAGTTTAGATAATTATGCCCAGTATTAATTATTAAATCGCAATCGTTAAGATTAGTGCCTCGAGCTCCCAAGGAGGGTTCTCCTAAGGTTAGGTTAAGGCACTAATCTTAACGGCGGTGCACTGCAGAAGGACGGAGTTCCGCCTGCTTGTGCCTCCGGTTGCCACGCAAACGAGGCGATTGCCCCAGTTTAAAAACAGTGGGTTACACGAGGATTTGGGTCCCTCTCCTTCCACCTCGTGCAAATTCTAACCGGCCATGGCTGCTTTGGCCGATATTTGTATCGAGTTGCTGGAAGAGCCCAAATCGTGACATGTGGGGCTAGTGAGGATACCGCGCTACACACGCTGGCACAGTGCTCTTCATGGGACGAACAGCCTGACGCTCTCATCAGAGAACTCGGGAATGGCCTATCCCTTCCCAGTGTCGTTCGGGCTATGGTCTCGAGGCGGGAAGCCGTTAATGCCGTCGCCCACATTAGCGTGACGGTGAATGAGAGAGAAAAGGGGGGAGGGTAATCCTCTCGCACCTGCGAGGAGGCGCCGGAGAACATTCGCGCAGACGTCGACCTAGTGGGGGTCTGCCGGCTATTGGTTGGGCGCCAGTAGTCCGCGTTGTTCAGGTCACTGCGAAGGTGTGGTCTCCGTCGGAACGCGGGTGTCACATGGGGCATAACTCCGCCCGGAGATGAGCCCGCGCAGATTACTGGGCACCGCCGAGTGGACCTACGCGAGCCGGCGTCCTACGCCTGCTCGTGGCCCATTCAGTTATGGCGAAACCAAGTTCCCGGGGAATTTAGTGGAGTATTCCCAGCTATCTCTTTAGCCGGGCGAGTCCCACATACCACGCTCGCCAGCCCAGTGGGCGTGGAGGGTACGTAAACTTCATTAAACACGATATGTTGAGGGGTAGGCAGTGCCGTCTTTGACCTATTGGAGGCCCTGGGAACATCAGGATAATGGGGCCCCATGACTTCCGTTTGATGATTTAACAGGAACTAGGTACTTTGTATTTGATCTGAGTGGCCCCCTATCGATCGCGGGGCCCTGGGCACTTGCCCAAAGTGCCCACTGGGAAAGACGGGTCTGGGGCTAGGTAATAATTTAAGTAGATATAGGTACCTATAGTGGGTCTGAATATCGCAATAGAGTAGTTTCTCTCTGTGTGGTCGTTGATCACCGCCTCCGCCATCGCTTTGGAAAACGTGTACGTGTTGAGCTTTGGAGATATGTACCTGCGGAGTGAGAATAAAATTATATTACGAAGTGCCATCAATCATCAATATTCCTTAGAATAATCAATATTCATGTAGCATCTCATATTGTAGTATGGAATAGGGAAATTACGCCATTACTTGCCACGCAGGCCCAGTGCGAATTAGAAAAACGCCGGTTACAACAGGTCGAAGTGCCTTTCGTAATACAGAGGAGTATGACGATTTAAATCTTTGGTCATACAGGCACTTCACCTTGCCGGCCTGAAATGTAGTTCTTCACGCCTCTTAACGGATCCCAGGTTGTAGGAGAAAGGTGACAAAGCCTCTGTCGTCCTAAATCTAGTCTTTATGTGTATGGGTGATACGGATTCGGCCTGCGGTCATGAAAGTTAAGCAACGTTTGTAATGTTCGGTCATTAGAGGGGTGACCAAAAAGCTATTCGAGCTCGAAGGCACGTTAAGCCGTTGGTCCCGGCTACATCTGTAGTCTTTAGCAACCACCAATCACCAATTTATTTTATTTTTTTACTAAATCTTTGCATTGTTAAGGCTAAGATTGTAAAATTATACAGCCATTCCATTTTTTTTTCCTCTTTGATATGTATTTATTGGTATGCTTGTTTCTTTTGGTGTATTATTGTGGTTTCATTTTTTATCTGTGTCATCAACCATAGGCCCTGCCAGAATTATCAGCGCTGTAGCAGCCCTGGTGTTGCTGTAGTATCAAGCTGAGGCAGGGACCTAGTTGGCCTATTTTGTCTTGTTTTATTTATGTAAATCTAACTGTGTTTAAGGCTAATAAATTTATTTCTATTCTATTCTATTCAATCCGCACTGGGCCCGTGTGGTGGATCACGGCCCAGTCTCCCTATTCCATCCATAGGGAAGTCCTGTATCCCAGCAGTGGGGATATTAATACCCTGGTGATGATGAATGGTGAAACGTGATACTCACTTTGGAGTGATGGCTTCTAACTGTTCTGGAGTGTAAGTATCCACCATCGTCAGTAATTCCTGTAGAGGTGCCGGTGGGGGGTACACACGCTCTTCTATTAAAGGCTGATCAGCGTTACTGTACGCCGTTGAGACGTATATGAACGCCTGTTCGGAGAGATTAGATCATTAGGAATTTTAAAAATATGTTAAAAATACCTTTAAAAATATTGATGGATCTTTTTATATGATACATGAAAGTCAATTATCCCAAAAGGTTATAAGTGTCGACGCACACGGGCCACACGCCACAGCCACAAACGCTTCCACGAAAAGCTAGAAGCGGCTAATAAAGTGGCTGAAGCGCGCGACAGCGGCCGACTAAGGTAAGGGAGAGAGGGGTGGGGAGTCGCGCGAGTGACGTGCGGTGGCGTTTTGTATCGGCGCATTAAGTGGCCGGTGCGGGCCACAAGAAGCGAGCAACGACGATTTGTAGCGTGTGGCGGCCACCGGCGTACCGTGTGTGGCGAGTCCATATAAAATGTATGAAAACTACAAAAAATATGCCGGTGGCGGCGTTTTTTGGTTGTGGTCGGTGGCCCGTGTGCGGCGACACTAAGACAGATAAAATTTCCCTGTCTGCGTGGTGTGCCCCTCCAGGCATCCTCACCTTGCCGGCCTGAATCCGATCCCCTACCCCGTGGACTCCTAGAACCTTACCAGCAGGAACACTACACCGCCAAAAGGTAGTGTTATTTTACTGTGATCCTTCCTCAGACAAGCGCTCTACTTCGAGCGGGAAGTCCTTGTGCCCTATCTCTCTTCGATATATAGGCATTTCTGACAACATTCTTTGCAGAGCCTTCCTGAAGAAGAGGGCTTACGTTCTTCTGAAATGTAGAAGGGTTTCAAGACAAAGGACTTCTCGACTGGGAAATCCACGGACACTAAAAAAGGCCTGTAGCAACAGCCGGAGACTGCTTGGCTTTCTGGAGGAGATGGATTGACAGGACTAATACCATTCCTCACGCTGGCACGCGGTACATGGCGTGCTTATTCAGCGTGAAACAGCCCGCCGTACTACTAGGACTTCGCTAGATGGTCGTGGACAGAGTGTGTAGCGCCATTGATTCTTACCGGCTTAAGGTTGTGGCGGAGACATCTACATGCCCGACATTTGCAAGACTTGACGCTCCATAATAACATATTGTGCTACCAGCGCTGCACTCAAAAAGTATGGACGCCTACATCGCGCAATAGAAATTTAGAGGCTTACTTTTCATATATGCAATGCCCGACCAACATCAGTCGGGCCGAGGCCTCCGAGCTACCATCACCCAGCTCGGCGGATGTTCTTCCTCTTTGACCTTCCAACAAGATCCTGGTTGACAGCCGCTGAGACCTCCTCGATTGCATTGGCATAATTATAATAATTAATTACCTACCTCTAAGTTGCTCAGCGTGTCACACAGCGCCAATGCTTCTATCACGGGTTTCAGGTTCTGGTTGACGGCCACCGACAGTGGCTCCTCGAACTTCACCATAGCTGCCGAGAAGAATACTACCGACACCTGAAAAACATGAAAATTGATGAAGTAATATTTCTTACACTTACACCAATAAGCCCTGGGATGTATTTACCATAGACCCTTGGATCAAGAGGGCCACCAATGGGCTGGCTACGATGGTGCAGTTGCAAGAGCTTCGAAAGGCGGCAAAAGCATTCGTTACTGACCTATATTTTGATGAGTTTTATGAATTCTATAGGTTACAGAGATAAAGAGCTAGAACCGGTCTGGTATATCGACCCGCCCCCACTTCTTTTTAGTGGTATGCATGCAAACCAACAAAAAATGTCAAGTAGCATTATACCCCAAAGTGCCATGTTACTGAGATATTTGGAGGTAAAGATCGACATACGAGTACAGGACGATCGGCATATGAGTCGGACTGTACGAATGTGGGTACTATCTGGGTTAATCGATTTTAATACACACGTTTCTGTCTTGAAATATTTTTGAGGAGCTCTCAGTTGGCGTTAAGCTACTTTCGCCGTGGTCGGTCATTGGCTACCCATCCATACAAACCATACAGACCAAAAACTTTACTACCTCGAACTCCTCCGTGCTTCAGGAGACACGTTAATCCGTTGATCCTGGCTTCATATGCAGTCGGTAGCACCCATCAATCCACACTGGACCCGGCTCATGGCCCAATCTCCCAATTCCACCTTAAGGGTACCTGTGCCCCAGCAGTCGGGACATTAAAAGGCTAATAATAATGATGATGACTCACGTCTCTGAGCTGCTGTACGGAGGTGTTGTCTAGCCCGAGTCGCGGCAGAGTCGTGTCCCCGGACACAACGCTCAGCTTGTCTAGCTGAGAGGGACTCTTCTCACGGAGCTTCTCGAATATCTGGGCCCAAAACACCAGTTCATACATAAACATTACAGTCACTTCACATTTGTACTGCTCATAACTCAGTTGGGAAATAACCTAGTTTATTCATTCGATGTGCAGGAAGCGGAAATGTTTGATCATGCAAAGCGATCGACAGAGTTGAGGGGAGGACGGGGGATGGCGATTTCCTCAAGGAGGAGCTCGATCGCGTAAGTGGTTTGCGCGTTTGGTCTGAACTCTAGGAAGTTAAGCAACTTGCGCAATGACCGATAAATCAGGTGGCTGACCAAATTTAAGCTCCTCCGTGCTTCGGAAGGCATGCTAAGCCGTTGGTCCTGGGTGCATCTGGAGTCGTTAGCACGCACAAATCCGCACTGTGCCCGCGTGGTCAGTCATGGCTTAATCGCCCTATTCCATCCATAGGGAAGGCCAGTACACCAGCAGTGGGGACATTAATAGGCTGATGATGATGATTCTCTCTCGGGGTACTGACCATGGACTCCTTGAGTTGCTGCAGCCGCTGCAGGGGTGAGGAGTTCTTCTTCTCCCGCAGCAGCAGGTACAGGCGTTCGATGTCAGGGCATGTCGATAATAGCTGTTCCACCAAAACCTGTGTAAAATTCAAAAAGATGTTTTGTGGACAATTCAGATCATCGTCTGCGAAACCGTAAATTATAACAGTATAGTGCGGTTCAAACCACATAAATAAATTAAGATTTTCTGAAGTTATATATTCAATCAAGGCTTTTCAAAATTTACACCACCCAATTTTAAGGGCCCAATCGAAAGGGTGGGCGTGACCCATAGATCGCTCCAGATCGAGTCCCTTACACCCTAACTCATGTTACACCACCTTTAGTCAGGGTAAGGATCTGTAGCAGTTCATACAAGACACGTTAATTTTAAGTACCATGTCTTGTATGGCCCGCTGATATACAAACCTTTTAGTAAGAATTAACTTTCTTTATTATTTAAATTAAGAGATTGTCAAAATTGACATTCAGACACATTTCGGAAAATTTTACATGGAGAGTCTGTTGTAAAAATATTAACTATAATTTGTTCTTTGCATATAATAAGTAAATAAATAAAGATTTTAATTGACCAACGTGTTCGACATAATCGTACCTGTATCTGCGCGCTTCAGGTTCCAAAATTGGGTAGTGTAAATGCCGTTTATGAAGCTGCTTAAAAAGTGAGGCCTTTTAGACTGCTTATGCTTGTAGTAAGTGCTCCTATTTAATGATGTTTTTATGGGCTCCATGAGGTAGCTAGTTTTGTATCACAAGCGTCTATAGATTATGGAGGCCGCTTATTATCAGACGCGAAATATGCAGGTTTACCACCTGTGGCGGCGACATCTATATGCCCCACATATAACTAACATTGAGGAAATAAACACTCGCCTCCTCAAGAGATGGCGCTACCGGCGCTGCGTTCACAACGTAAGGAAGCCTACATCGCGCAAGTGAAATTCGGCAGCCAACAGTTCATATATACGATTCCCGACCAACATCAGTCGGGCCGCGGCCCCCGAGCTAACATTACCCAGCTCGGAGGAAGATCTTCCCCTTTGGCCTTCCTACAGTGGTGACCCCGAAGTGATATGAACACGCAACCTTCTGATTGGCCAGCTCGGAGGAAGATCTTCCCCTTTGGCCATCCACATAGTAAAAAAAACTCATACTTACTAGACCCATGAACCCAGAAGCGCCGGTGATGAATACAGATCTCCCAGCATAGAACTTGGGGATCTGTGGTTCCTGCGAGTCTGTTCGCGATACCATTTCACCCGATCTTTAACAATATACTTAATGGTAAAGAACATCTTACTAGATAAGAAGAAAGTCTAAACGGTCCAGGGATCGGACAGGATTTGACCCGGATGCACTAAGTGTCGCCGCACACGGGCCACCGACCACAACCACAAAATGCCGCCACCGGCATATTTCTTGTAGTTTTCATACATTTTATATGGACTCGCCACACACGGTACGCCGGTGGCCGCCACACGCTACAAATCGTCGTTGCTCGCTTCTTGTGGCCCGCACCGGCCACTTAATGCGCCGATACAAAACGCCGCCACACGTCACTCGCGCGATTCCCCACCCCTTACCTTAGTCGGCCGCTGTCGCGCGCTTCAGCCACTTTAGTAGCCGCTTCTAGCTTCTCGTGGCGGCGTTTGTGGCTGTGGCGTGTGGCCCGTGTGCGGCGACACTAATCAAATATGCTATCGACTACTTAAGCCGTTAAAATTCAGGGTAATTGATGACGTGATACTGAAGGTAATAACAGTAATAAATTACGTTTAAATTTAAGGAAAATTTTACTAGAAAAAAATCCGGGCACTCCAGGCAGCAGACGGGACTCGAACCCACACCTTCCGCTACCCAGGCCGACGCACTGAACAACTATGCTACCGCAACCTTGGAATTTAAACATTATGCTTAAAAAATGAAAACATACCTTATAAAATAAATAAAGTTGCTCATAGTGCTCTCTCATAAGAGCCCTTTTACAAAATTGCGCCGCTGCCGTACTGATCGGCGCGTAGGTAGATTTGCACTAGTATATATTGCATTTACGGGTGATGTTTCGAGTCTTATAAAATAATTATTAATGAACTACTTATAACTATATTCATATTTCAGTAGTTCAGTGATGGTAGATTGGTTTAATGAAAGTTTTTGATAGTAATTCTATTTAATTCAATATCAAAATACGAGGTAAACCTGCATTGTTTTTTGGGAAAACTCACGGAGGTTAGATGTTTTTTTTTGATAATTAATGAGGTGAAAAATAAAAATTCTAATACATTATGTTACAACAGAAACATATTTCTGTAATTAATTTGATCTAATTTATTGAACATTATTGAGCGATTTGAGGCTGAAGGTTTGAAGTTGTGCATATTATCGTTTTTTCCGTAAACTAGCTGCGGTAGAACGATCAGTACAAAAAGAGGAAAATAGTATTTGCAAATATTCTACATTTACTTACAATAGGAAGAATAGATTTTTTCTGTTGGAAATACTCAAAATCTTTTCAAAGGGGGTAAACGAGCTCAAAAATTACGATTTTTTGCAAAAAATGTGAAAGGGCTTTTAGTAGAAATTTCAAATTAATAGATACAGACATTACATATACAAACTGCTAGGGCATTGCAAATACTAAATAAACAAACTTTTTCTCAACATCATGAACGTATTCTTTATTAACATTATTTATTGATTTACACTATCTAAAAAATATCATTATTCAGTAATTATCATTACCTATTGATTAATATTCATCATTATTTATTTTAATATAGCCATAGGTAACTTGCAATAAATACCGTTGCAATACTATCTTAAAGGCATATAATTTTCTCATTTCATTACAATATTTACGTATTAAATAATTTGGAAATCTAGCTGACTAGGTAATTATCTTGAGCTTGATCGCTAGAATATATTAATTAATATAAAATGCTAACGACCTAGCCTTACTAGTATAGCTGCCTGGATGTGTTGCGAGCATTAGAACAGACATTACTCCGTATTTGTTGATGTTATTTTTATCACCACTAAAGACATCTAGTGTGGAGATATAATAAGCATTTACCATAGATAGGTGTCGCTAGACCAATCATTTATCTACGGCATTTACAAACAAAGCAAAACATAATATAACTACTTATTATACTATGGGTAAAATTTCTTTTACATGTATCTAATTACCGGGGAGGAAATCTTGAAAGCCAAACTTCGAATTTTACGCAATTTTTAGTGTTAACTACAGTTGCAGTAGTAGTTCCCTATCGCACGATATTTGCCAATGCGTGACAGCCATAGTTTTTTCAAATATGTACCTACATATTTCTCAAAGAAATGTCTCTCAGCTCGCGTCCGCCCTTAATGGCTTAGATTAAAACAAAAAGGGTAGATACGGCACTAACCTCACAAAAGTGATCCGCATAAATTGTGGTCCACGACCCTAATCGCTTTAGTCACAACTTGACATGCAAATGACGTACATGTGAACGCCAAAAAGAAATATTGCTAATATTTTGTGTTTATATGATGAAACAATGCCTTAGTGTGTTTTTAAAAAGTGCTCAAATTGCTGAAGAACTAAAAATAAAACCCATGGCATCACTTTTCATTCGCAAGTACTATAAAATATATTTTTTCATAAAAATAGCTGTTTGTTTTGAATCTTATTCGGTAGTGACATCGAGTACTGGTCGCGTGATTGGTCGGTAGTGCAGTGACGCGGATCTCGCCGTCTCGTTCGAGCTGCCGTGGGATCAGTTTTTGTTTGATGCAAGTATGAGCGTACCGTATCTACACTTTTTGTTTTAATCTAAGCTTAATGGTGGCTGTGAAGTTAGCGCAAGTCGCAGCTCAGTAAACAAAATGTTAGGATGAAGTAGGCGTGTTGAGGACATTACTGACTAAACAGAGCCCAAGCACAAAGCTTTGACACTTTTTTAAACTTCCCGGTCACTAATATTACACATAGTAATTTATGTTATTTAAAAACGGCGTATGGGACATCATACATACACCGAAATTTCACATTCCTAACTATAATAGGGTATTTTCCAAAATTTTGAAAACAGCTTATATTTAAATTTGGACAAACGATTTAACAGAAAATATTTTTTTTCTCCATTATAGCAATTTGAATTGAATTTATTTTTAATGGTGAATTTACCGCCAAAACCCTCGGTTCGATGCTTGTTCGATGTCGCCTACAATGTGACGTCAACTTTGTAAACAACAAAGTTGTGGGGCTCAGCCGCTAATATCGAAAGTATTTTCATACTGCAAAAGAGAGCTGTTCGCGCCATATACAATTTAAAGGCAAGAGAATCCCTTAGAGAAAAATTTAAAGAAATTAATATTCTAACACTGGCGTGTCAATACATTTATGAAAATTTAATATATGTAAGAAAAAACTATGATGAATTTGCAAAAAAAAGTCAAACCCATAACTTTAACACGAGATTTAAGAACAAGCTTGCCGTTCCATGTTTCAGACTCCAAAAATCAAGAGGTTCATTTCTGGGTTGTAGTATTGCATTGTTTAACAAAGTTCCCCAAGATCTGATTGAGCTTCCACTGACTAAATATAAATCTCAGATCAAAAATACTCTTATGAATAAGGGCTATTATAAAGTTGATGATTATCTAAATGATCGAAATGCATGGACATAGTGTTTCTTATAATTTGATATTAAATGGGTATTAGTCATTTTTCATAACAATAATATTGTACCTATCTAATGCCGCTTCCTATATACTACTTAAAATGTTAACTATAAAATTAATTGTAACTATATATTTATATTCTAGATGATGTAATGGAAAGTGACTTCAGACATATTTCTGAAGTAATTTTTCAACTTGACGACACTGTATATAACAATACAGGGAGAAAAAAACAGCCTTTGCTGAGTTTCTTGCCGGTTCTTCTCAGTACAAGGTCTCCCGCCGTAGTTTTGCGAACCGATGGCGTAGCTTCTTGACCTTCACAAGTGCTTGTAACAGCCTAGACTGAATAAATGACATTTCATTTCATTTTATTACATTTCATTTAATTTCATTTCATTTCATTTCATTTCATTTCATTTCATTTCATTTCATTTCATTTCATTTAATTTCATTTCATTTCATTTCATTTAATTTCATTTCATTTCATTTCATTTAATTTCATTTAATTTCATTTCATTTCATTTCATTTCATTTAATTTCATTTCATTTCATTTCATTTAATTTCATTTAATTTCATTTAATTTCATTTAATTTCATTTCATTTCATTTCATTTCATTTCATTTCATTTCATTTAATTTCATTTCATTTCATTTCATTTCATTTCATTTCATTTCATTTCATTTCATTTCATTTCATTTCATTTCATTTCATTTCATTTCATTTCATTTCATTTCATTTCATTTCATTTCATTTCATTTCATTTCATTTCATTTCATTTCATTTCATTTCATTTCATTTCATTTCATTTCATTTCATTTCATTTCATTTCATTTCATTTCATTTCATTTCATTTCATTTCATTTCATTTCATTTCATTTCATTTCATTTCATTTCATTTCATTTCATTTCATTTCATTTCATTTCATTTCATTTCATTTCATTTCATTTCATTTCATTTCATTTCATTTCATTTCATTTCATTTCATTTAATTTCATTTCATTTCATTTCATTTCATTTCATTTAATTTCATTTAATTTCATTTAATTTAATTTCATTTCATTTCATTTCATTTCATTTCATTTCATTTCATTTCATTTCATTTCATTTCATTTCATTTCATTTCATTTCATTTAATTTCATTTAATTTCATTTAATTTCATTTAATTTCATTTAATTTCATTTAATTTCATTTAATTTCATTTAATTTAATTTCATTTAATTTAATTTAATTTAATTTCATTTCATTTCATTTCATTTCATTTCATTTCATTTCATTTCATTTCATTTCATTTCATTTCATTTCATTTCATTTCATTTCATTTCATTTCATTTCATTTCATTTCATTTCATTTCATTTCATTTCATTTCATTTCATTTCATTTCATTTCATTTCATTTCATTTCATTTCATTTAATTTCATTTAATTTCATTTAATTTCATTTAATTTCATTTCATTTCATTTCATTTCATTTCATTTCATTTCATTTCATTTCATTTCATTTCATTTAATTTCATTTAATTTCATTTAATTTCATTTAATTTCATTTAATTTCATTTAATTTCATTTAATTTCATTTAATTTCATTTAATTTCA